ACTGACTAAAAAATCTCCAGCCAGACAAAAGTGTATTTTGCTGAAACAACTAAGATATCAATGTACGTTGTTATATTTTATTACTATCACATGGAAGATTAGTTTGTGGTGTTTTTCATTCTTTTTTGTGTACTTGACAGTAGTGGAAGAAGTATTACAACACTTTACATAAAGAAATAGCTCAACATTTTGGGAAATACACTTGCTTGCTTTTTTTTTTGGTGGGAGTTGGATGAGACGGTGGATATCACCCTCAGCTTGAGAGGTAAGACAAATCCAAAGAAGTTACTGCACCTAACGAGGAAGTACTCTTGAACATAACCCCCCATTAAACCACAGTCTTATGACGTTTCTATACTTTGGTTATTGTTATTGTTATTATATATAGTATAATGTTGTTATTATTAGAGGTGCTGATAGGCAGGTAGGTATTTTGTTACCTTTGGACAGAGCCAGTCTTAATGCTAAGCTAAGCTGCTGGCTGTAACTTCACATTTAGAATACAGACATGAGAGTGGCATCAATCTTCTCATCTAACTCTCAGCAAAAAAGGGAATAAACAGTTTTCCCAGAAATGTGTACCTGTTCCTTTAAAAAGGTAAAAGTAACACTACCACAATGTAAAAATACCCCAATACAATTAAATGATTACTTATTACTAAATTTGCAATCAAAAATAAAAGTACTTGTAAGTGTTATATTATTATGCAGTATATTAAACTACTGGGTTGTCAGTACTGATGATGTACTAATGTGTAAGCAGCATTTTAATTTAGTCATTGGTTGCGTTGGAGCTAATTTTTTTCTACTTTATATACTGTCGGGTAACAGTGCCCCATAATTGCTTAATTTATGTTTTGTATGAGAATTTGAATCTGCAAAGTAACTAGTAACCACAGCTGTAAAATAAGTATAGTTGAGTTAAACATTATATTACCCTTTGAAATGTTGTGGAGTAGAAGTAATACAAGCACCTCTAAACTGCACGTAAGATTACAGTCCTTTTCAATTTGGCAACACCTGTGTTACCAATGGTAACAGGAGGGGTAGATCAGTTACCCTGTAGAGAAGTTGGAGATGTACAGCCTGTCACTGTCTAACAATTTCACTGCCAGTAAATGCCAAAATTATTTCTTTTGTAGATGCTTTTTTTTTGTGAACACTCAAGGTCAGCACTGACCTCAATGATGAATACAGTGCATTTCCTGTGACTACTTCACAATAAAAGCCACCTGGTGTTTCACCAGTTGAAGGTTTCTAATGTGAAGCAGCAGCAGTGGGAAATGTTTGGTTTGCAGTAGCACAAACTTAATACAGTGGATTACACACAGGAGACTGGAGTACGGATATGACTCATTTCCTGTAAATGACCCGTGCATATACAAGCAATTCAAATATAAAGAGGTAATTACAGAAAGTAAATAAGTTTAATTGTGTCTACACAGATTGTGTTTCAGCCATGTTCATCTCACACATGTCTGATGAGACAGATAGACAGATAATCTCCCACTTTAATCAATCCAGCTGTCTACAGGGGCCGTGGCCCCTGTTTCACCCACGCTACACACTCGTAAACGTGACCTGAAGAATACATTTACACTTCAAGTCCATTTTCCTGAGATTTACAAATGTAACTCCAGTGTTTGCGTGTTGGATACTGAACACTTCACATAACACATAAGTATAGTACTTGAGTGAATGTAGTTAGTTACTTGCCACTGCTGCTTCTTGACCCTACTCTAGTGAAAACCTGTTTAACATAGTCTACCTGCCTCTGTTTCCTTGCAGCCTATGTATTATACAGACGAGCCGGGCAGGAGGAACTACGATACATACAGAATGTACCTGCAGCATCCGCACGGCTATGACGACCCGTACTTGGAAGAGGTCATCACCTACCCGCCCACAGTCGACTATAGCTCCCAGCCTCATGGACTGAAATCCACCACCAACTATGTGGACTTTTATGCTAGCACACGGAGGCCTTCCTACAGGGCAGAGCAGTATCCCGGCTCTCCTGACTCCTGGGTATAGGTCTGCAGATGCTCCTGTGTTGTGATCAAGAACCTCGTTCATCCCTGATTCTCCTTTCAGGGCATGAGGAGGGGCGTCTTCACCCTGCAGCAAAGGCGAAGAGCCGGTAGCACGCAAGAACCGATGAACTTTTTCATGAACTTGGCTTTATAAGTGTGTTTGTTTTAAAGTGAATGTGTGTGTACGGGGTGGGGGGAGTTCAACTGAGTGATGACAGATGGAAAGATGGAATGTGTGCCAAAGAAGGAAATCAAGGAATGGTTTTTTTAAAAAATTTATTTTTTATTTAGTAGAGGAAGATGGAATCATGCTGGGGATCTGTTGAGGGACGAAACTGGACACTACCGTGAGGAGACGTGCGTTCTGCTCTGTCTAGATGTTAGTTTTATTTTCTTTATGAAACTCTTAGCTGTGATAGCATGATGAAAGGTGTGAGTCATGTGAGCAAGGGTCTGCGGTAAGAGTCAAGATGGGGTATATGTATGTGCTGAAGCCAAAATGGATCATGAACTCATATCTGTAAAATTAAAAAAAAAAAAAAAGAAATAGTAAACTAATGATGTTAGATTGTACAGAGGGATCACATTGTATCTGTACTTAATGTTGAAGCTGTGTAATGCCATGGAGTCTTGTACATTTCTTTCATTTTATTGTAAATACAGAAAAAAACAACATGTTACCTGGTTTACATTCATCAGCACTGGTTAAAAAAAGAAACTTGTGCCATGTTAAATCTCTATAGATATATAAATATATGAATAAATATGTGGACAAAGATGGCATCATAACACACAAACATGTTAAAATAATAATAAAAGGTCAGTTTTGTTTTTTAAACACTGTGCAATTGCATCTTTTCTCAGGTACAGTGAAAACTTTTTTCTACGGAAGCAAACAGAAATAATTGTGAACATGAACAGATCCAAAGGAAAAATCAAACCATTCTCTCTTTTGAACAGTTTTTCCTCTGAAGTTATTCTCCTCTTGCGGGAAAAATGTTTCATTAGATTGCATTTGCACAGATATGCGTGGAGGCCGGCCAACTATGAACCAGGAGACCTGAGTTTCATAAACTTCACTCCGGCAGAACACTGAATCCCTACCAACAGTGATCAGAACCTGACGCTGTGCTTTCACCTGGATAAACAAATTCTTCTCCTGGGATCTCTAAGAGAATCGCATGAACAGTGAAGGTTTCAAACATAGACATTTCTGTATTTACACAGATTCAATTTTGTGTTATGAAGGTCACCATGAACTTGTAAATGTCTAAGTTTTAACAATTAGTGTGAAAGCTTTTCAAATACATTATGCATTATATTCAGTTTACCATTCATCGCAAAAGAGTCTAAAAAGCTTTGAATATGAATATTCACATCTGCACATCATGAACAAGTACATCAAGGTATGTAGATGATGAAAACCACTTACTGCTAATAAAATCACATGGAATGTGAACTTTTCTAAAGTATTTATTAGATTTGCAACAAGTGAATGATTTTCAGTTATGTAAGGAAGTACAAACAGTAAGAAAGGTTGATGTTGCTATAAGACTGTACTTTATCACCATGACCCCCGTCCCTACCCCCCTTCCTACAATACAAAGTAAACTAGTCCCTAAAAGAATTTCATGTTTCAGTACTAAACCTAACTCTGTAACTACACAAATACAGGTGAGGAGAAGAGAAGGAAACAAATCATAACAGCGGTTCTCCTCATTAGAGCTTCCTGGGAAGGAGTAAAGGTAGTTCAATCAGGAGAGACTCATTTGTGTAAACGAAGGGGGCCTTGAGTACATGCTGAGCTGCTGTGCACTCAGATTCATCCCCCCTTTGGCAATATGTAGTTTTTCTCCCATGCCCCAGGATGCTCTGTGATAATTAGATTAATTCAGGAATATTTAGAATATCTTTACCAAACTGAACTGATGAGTCTTGAAACTAGATTTTTGCCTCAAATCTTTTTTTTCAAAACATTCCAAAAAAAAAAAAATCAAGTAATGAAGGCGGACTGCCTTAAGGCCCTTATCATGTCAGCTGATATTGTACTTTTAGAGCTGTATATTCCCAAACACATTTTCAACTAAATTAACTAAAAACCAGTCGACAAACAGTTAGCCTGCAGCTTTTAGAGACCCTGGAGCTCTGGAGAAACAGCTGCTGATGTGCATTACTGCTCTCTGCAGTAGATAGATGTTTTGTTTGTTTTGTTTTGTGTTGGTTTTTTTAATGCATATTATGACCTCATTAAGCACTCAGCATAGCTCCACCAAACCTCACCCCGAAAAAAATGGTCTATTTATCAGATAGAATAAGTGGACACATCTCTGAAGTCTGCATGGCCCTTTAAACACTACACCTCATAACATACATAATCAAATTAATTCCATTCACCTGCTTCAGTTTATTGTGCATGCAGGCTCACTGTCACACTGTCTTGAACAGAACAGAGCCATTGGTGATGTTATTGGCAACACCTGTTCTTTTTCCTGCAATGACACATCTAATTGTCTGCTGTGAAACCGACCTATTGTAGGCCTGCTGTATATTGAGCCAGTTTTTATTTCCAGTAAAACTAAATAAAAGTGTATTTTAAGGCAGCTCCACAACAAAAGTGTGCATGCATTTTGACACAAAATCAAAAAGATGCCTTCATGAACACAGTTAAAGTGCGGATTTATTTCAGCTGTTCTGTCAGAGAGCTGCCAACCTATTCTCATTGTATGGATTTTGCCAAGATTTTCAAAATAAGATGACATAACCGTGACCGTATTTCAAAAATAACCAGAGCAAGAGAAACCTAAAGAGATGTACATTACACTTGTGAGCAAATATGAGACATTCGCTGTTTCAAGTTTCACTTCAAGAGTAAAAGCTCCAAATCAGTTCAAAATGCAGATAGGGCGTTTCTGCGGCCGCAGACTTCCTGTAGCCACACAGGACGTCATCTGTGTGAGAGCATAAAAACAACGGAGTGGGCGTAGAGAAAGAGTTTGGTGCCTTCTTTGCTTTTCTCCGGAAAGTTTTGAAAATGGTGCAGCAGCTGTCCAAATCTGGAGCGAAGGAGACTTCTTTGCTGAAAGCTGGCCACCCTCCAGCAGGTAAACCGCTGTTCACACACACCTCGAGTTGCTCTGTTTAATTCTTTTTTTTTTGTTTTTGACCACATTAAAACAAAGCGTTTTTTTTTTACATTGCTCGACCCAGATTCAGAGAGTCGTGCGAAGCGAGACGCCGAGCCAACTCCTCCTCCTCCTCCTCAGCTTTTGTCCCAAGTATTTTAGTGACTTTTTCTGTCCTGATTAGACAGATTGCTGCATTGTGGTCGTATCGCAAGAAGTTAGTTGTTTTCGTTGATTTACTGTGATCATGCTGCTGCTGGGCGTTTGCATCCGTGATTCGCCCACATGCCTTTTTATTTATGAGAAGGCCTTGGCTGAGAGTCCAGTGAAAGTAACACCGTGTTCTCTCCGCCTAAACACCCGTATAGGCTCAGTTTAATGCATGCAAAATTCTGTCGTGCAAATGTGTCCATCACAGAGCACTGTAGTTCGCTGTTTTTCTCTCATTATTATATTGTGTGCCTTTGCGTCGATGCCCATTGATAAGTGTTGTTGATTTTAAGCAGAAGCAGTTTAAAAACATGATGTTTTGCACGTATAGTTTCTTATACCACACAAATTTCAAAGATTTCATTTTAAAGTTTTTTTTTTTTTTTTTTGTTTTTTTTTTAAGACCTGAAAAAGTGAAAGTACCCTGTTTTTTTGTTCTTTTTTTTCTTAAGGGAAATGTGGAAATTATTGGAAAATGAAGGAAAAAAATGATTTCTTTTCTTTCTTTTTCCTTGTAATCCTCTTGTGACCCCTCAGATGTATCCCTGACCCCCACCACGACTGTTTTAGGTTTAGGCCACTTGCTGGATTGCACTGGAGTTGCTGCCAAGCAACAACCCCGCCTCCATACTTTGACCATCTGTATAGTAATTTTAAAAACAACATTAGTGATACTGTAAAAGCAGTCACTGGTTGACTCACTGAGATTCTCAAACCAGTGTTTGTTTTTTTGTTGCTGAAGATTTTTTTTGTAAGATTTTTTTTTTTTTTTTTTTTTTTTTTTTTTTTTTCAAGGGGGTCAGGATCTGTGCATACTGCATACATACTAATCTTTAACATCTACAAAGCTCAAGTGCATACAGCATGCTAATTTATTCAGTTTTTTTTCTTTTTCATGTAACATATTTAACCGTTTTCCTTTCTGGGTCAATAGTGAAGGCTGGAGGTAAACGGGTGGCAAAGAAAAGCTTGGAAGAGAGTGCCACCCATGGGACTCCAGAGAAGGAGACCAAGAGGTCTGATAAATTGAGGTAGGCCTACAGGCTGCATGCACAGTATCTGATAAATGGGTTTGAAGTGTTGACTCCAAGGAGAAAGAAATGCATGTTGCTTCAAACCTTAAGATGTTAGAATGTCCAGCAGCATTTTGAGCAAGTTCAGTGAAACTCTTATATTTGAAACTTGTGTTCTTGCAGCAGGTCCCTCGCCACCTCCAGCAGGATGCAACAAGTTGGCATACTTCTGGCAGGAACTCTTGACAAGGTAAACAAAAATATTGTTTTTTTTTTTTTTTTTTTTTTTGTTTTTTTTTTTGTTTTTTTTTAAAACAAGCCAGTTCTTACTTTGAATGTCAAGTAACCACCTACCAGCCAAACTGTATCAGTTACAGCCTCTGTGGCCACAGAGCCTTGTGAATAATAAACTCTTGCCTGGTGTCTTTCACAGCTGAGCCATGACTTTCCAGAGACACCAGTGAGTGTGAGGCACAGCAAGGTGCGCCCCGCAGTGGAAAAGCCCCACTCACCTCGGACCTTTTTTATCCAGCAGCCGAGGAAGTATTGAAGAGCCTGTGTTTTCTTGGGGGGGTTTTTTTTTTTTTTTTTTTTTTTTTTTTTTAGAATGCCCTAGAGGGAACCATGTTAAGTCAACTGTGAAAGACAAACATGAAGTGTTAGACACGTGAAGGGTTCTGACAGGTTGTTTGTGACGTGAGAAAGAAAGAAACCATTCATCAAGCTCTGTATTTACTTTGTTGTAGAAAAAAAAAATAATAGAGCTTTTTTTCAGGCTGTGCTTGTTTGTGATAATATTATAAACCGATGCTGTAGTTGTATTTTCCAGCTGATGGAATGACAGATGGCATTTTGGTATCAGTATGTTGTAAGAGAGGGTTTGGGGTATGTAAGTGAGGCTTTTGAGGCTTTTCTTTGTCTTGTCAGTGAACTCTTCTATGTATTGCTTGGCACTTATTAGATTTAATAAAAAAAAAAAATTAAAAAAAAAAAGCAAATTGCATGGCATCACTGTATTGCAGATCTGTACTTATTTCCTCAAACTGTTTTCCTTTGCACTAAGCAGTATTGGCCACTAGGTGGAAGCAAATAGACGTTGATAAACTGATAAGAGTCAGAGGGTCTTGGTGAACTTTCAAATCAAACTGTTGTTGAATACACCATGACAATATTTCAAACATTTCTTCAGTTCTATACGTTTTCCTGTGCATTATTTCAACTGGTATAACAATGTACCAATGGCTTATCTATTGTAGTGTTCCAACGATACTAGCCCATGTTTCTAAAGGAGCTATTTTTAGTTTTAATTGAAGATTTTCTTTTTGTGTGACTTGAAGTTAAACAGTAGAATGGAAGAGCTCTTTGAGTCTGTTATTAATTTATTCACCTGCATCATATTTTTAACATGAAGGGATACGTTCAGCTTCAGAGTCCCCACATGTGTAAAAGTTGTATCCTGACCATTTTGAAGCCAAGAATCTCAATGTGCGTGAAACATTAGAGCCACCCAGTAGTTAGTTTCTGCATTCTTTCCTACATGAACATTCATTTAATGCCGTCAGTAGTGTTATTGTGAAAGCAGACCTCATCATATGTCTGTCAAAACTCATACCAAAACATACGAGACTGCAGTATGTGTTGTACTCGTATGTCTGTGGTATAGGTCACCTCTGTGGAAGAGAAAACTGACGGACAAGCGGTTCTTGGGTTTTTAAACATTTTCAGGGATAATTTATGAAGGCAGGCTTCATGAGCACAGGCCGGGGGTGCATTGTAAACAAGGTGGAAGAAGGGAGATGTAGGAGATGGAAGGCAGGCTGGATTATAAACATTTTCCTGGTTTCCACTTTACATTCCTCACCCTGCTTACATTACAGGTTTTACATTCGTTTCTGTCGTCTTATGTTTGTGCTTTAACATTGTAAGTCCAATCAAACGCATGTATGGATGACTTGTTCTCTGTACTCCAGTCTACATGAATGGATTATTTTATTTAACGTCACACAATTGAAATGGCATATTACCACAAGACACACAACATATAGGCTAGTTGATTTTCATGAAAAAAGAAAGGTTATAAAGTAAAACATGTTTTACAGGAAAAAAGACAATATAAATGACAATATAAACAATATAAAAGCGGTATTTCATGCATTGTCCAAAAAGTCTTACAGTGCAATATTTTTTTGATACATTTTTTTTTTTTTTTTTTAACCTCCATTCATTTTATTATTTACACCTTCTCCTGTTGTTACATGTCAGAATTTCTTGGGTGAAAAAGTTATTTTATTGAATAACCAATTTCTAACATTGCAATATAAATTGAAGCACAAAAACAAAGTGTATTTCATTTTCTGTCTCATTTAATTCTCATCACCAACATTTTCTCATCAGTGCCAACATAATGACCAGTTTACACATGTAGTAAGTAAGATACCACACCTTATTTGGACACAAATATCTTTTTGGACAAATTAAATTTCACATAATTTTCAACAACCATTTTTTTTCTTTAAACAAATAGAAAAAGAAAAAGTATTTAATAAGACAACATTAACATTTTCTCTCAGAACGAATGCTACCAGACTAATGCTATACCTACGCATACACTAATACTACAGATTTTGTCTATAAATTATCTGTTTAAATAAAAATCTCTTAAATTAAAAAAAAAAGAATGCTAAAAAAAAGTCCCTTAGGTTGAGCCTGCCCTTGTTCATGTGTGTTATGTGTATGTCAAGTCCTTGTGTTAATACATGTCTCTTTCTGTTTGCATCCGAAAGTCCACAAACAATAACTGCTGCTCGCTTGTTCGCCAACAAAGTACATGATGATAGCCTTGTAAACACAATGTGTCGACCTTAAATTCTCTGTGATGCTCATGCTGTTCACACATGCCTTTGACACCATCTGTGTGTGAAGTTCAGAGACCTCTTTGGCTCTGTTTGAGGAGTGGAGCAGTTGGTGGTCTTGTGACTTGCAGACATGGTGTGTGTCGCTGCCAGTGTCTGCCCATTCCCAGCCATCTGAGGGGCCTCGCTGACCCTGCAACGCCCACCACACTGCTGAGAAAACAGTGCACACCGGCTGTGTAACGCCGCCTCACACTGAGGAGTGGGATGACTGAGAGGATGTGGTTTGCAGTCCCAAAATGAACTCCTATCACCACGGTAAAATATGCAGGTTTACTGTACAATAACAAAGCTCATCTCTTCATATCGCAGCTTACATGACAAGCAATACGGAATTACAATAAAAAAATAGCATTATACTGTTGCTAAACGTTACTAATTTTGCACATGGAAGAAGCTGCATAAAATATTGTTGCCTCATGAGGTCGCCATAGACTAAGGCGTATTCTGATCTTCACTTGCCAGGCCAGGGGAGTCCACCAGTCTGGAAAGCCTTGCACTATATTTTATTACAGTTATACAGTAGCATTAGCATCATCTGAAGCTTTTGCTTGATTATAAGTTCAATAAATACTGTATTCTTTTGCTGTATGTTGACAACATTTTAGTCTTTCCATAGAAATAACATTTGAATCAAGCTATAGGCTGATATGTCATATGAATAAATATAAATATGAATCCTATTGTCAAGAAGTCTATAGTACAGCCAGATTCAGCGATATACAGAAAGCTTCTGAGTGACATCCTGCTTTTAACAACCGCTAATTCAGCCCTAAATCAATTACACAAAATTTACATAAAAGCTTTGACTCGTTGTTTCGACCCATCCTCCTCTAATGTCCATCAGCAAAGAGGAAGTTACACAGTATAACTGCTATGACTGTTAACAGTGAGACAACTGGTCATTTTAAATGTAGGCATCAGTTAGCTAAAATAGGGAGTGTGTGAGTTAGGCCGTGATGGAAAAAGTTTTCAGATTGTTCAAAATTGTATTTAGGCTAAGTAAAAGTATAGAGGCATTGGCAGTAAGATATATTAAGACTAAATTTGCTCCTCAAGAAGAACAATCCCTTTCATAGAAACATTCACGCAAAGCAGCATTTTTTGTCGTGGCCAGTCCAGGTGGTGCTATGTTACTTTTTATACCCTTGGAGAGTTCAATGTAACAATGCATCATATTTTATATGCGGCTTTATGTTTTGCATGTAACATCTTAATCTGCAAAGTGTCAGATAGCAACAGACATATGATCAATACAGAGGAGTATAACCTAGTTGATCACATGAATGATATGAAATAGAGGTATAATTAAGAATAATTTTTTTCAGTTAATCTTTTTTTCATATAAAATGACAGAAAAGAATAGATTATTATTATTTTTAACATAAGTGACTTTAACAATTATGTTGCTGTTATGTTGATGTTTTAGTAGACAGAGGACTTGTGTAATGGTGGCCTGTCAGTAAAAAGCTGGGACATTTCTATGTTTTGTAGGCTGATTCCAGCATTTTTAGACTGAATATATCAAAATTCGACAAGGTATGTTTGAGCCAGCAAAATAAATAAATAAAGCGTACAGTAATTCTCCACTAGAGGTGTATTCCTGGGAGTGTGGAGATGGCTTTGAACAGCATTTAGACCTTTATTTTAGGAAATAAAACAGTAATGCTTTAGGTGTGACAAAATAACCAGCACAGGATCCAAATGCTAGCTCTGCATCTAATGGTCTATTTAATCTTTTATCAGCATCTCAGGCTTTTATTTTGCTGGTTTATAATTTCTAAGAAAGTTTCCTGGAAAGAACTATGTAATCAGGTATTTATTTCAGGGAAAATAGAGACATTTGTTGTTTGGTTAGTTATTATGTTGAATTTATAAGCAGTTGTTGTCTTCCAGAGGAATTTTCCTGGAAAAAAACAGCTTCATTTAAATAAAACTGACAAAAAGTAAGGGTTGGGGTAAGCATTTGACAGCTAATTAAATGAGCAAAATATGAAAAATCAATGTGCTTACAGCTTTGTTAGAGACTTCCTTTGAGGGGGGATTTTGACATCAAACCTCACTATTTCAAAAACCTTGGTTAAACCCCCCCACCCCCTTAATTTGCAAGCATGCAGCTTAGTTGTCTTAATACATGTATCCTGCATCTCTAGCATCTTATCATGTCCATGAGGCATGCACAGAGAAATGTGGTAGAATAGGAGGAAGAGGAGGAGGATGGAGGGGTAGTTTGTCTTGGTTCCCTGCCCTGTGTAATGACCTCATGCAGGGAGGAGGGGGAGGAAGAGGAGGAGGGGGAGGAGCCCAGAGTTCCGTAGATTACCTTGGTGGATCAAGTGGGTGCTGAGTTCGTGTGGAGATACGCAAGAGGACTGGGAAAACTTTTGTTTTTCGTACTTTAATATCCATGACATTTATCAGGTAAGACTTTTAAAAGATTCATAAGACTGTGTTCACAACGTGAGCTCGGCGAAGTTGGTTTAACAGTTCAGAAAGTAAAGATAAGTGGAGAGAGTTTTGCTTGCAGTTTGTTTGTTGGAGGAATGTCGGGACATGCCCATTGAGCAGCCGTCAGAACCACCAGGACTGTCAGCGGTGTTTTACTTTTATTTTCAAGTTATTGACTGTTATTTAGCCTCGCCTGTGCTCGACTTAGCCTACTGTGTGTGTGGACACTTAAACTTTCATCTTACCGCTACTCAGACTCGATAGCTTCAAGCTTAAACTCGGTTGCTACGAGGTTAGCAAGGTTAAACCAAACTTCTGCCACAGGTAATAATTGTTTGGTGTGAACCGGAGCTAACGGGACACACCTGCTAATCAGAGAAATCGACTGCCTGTGATTCACTTTTAATTTGTATGCACCTTAAACTTGGCTTCAGTTCAGAGTCACTATGGTGGATCATTGAAGAGTTTCGCGCTGAAACGATTAGTCGATCGTATAGTCGATTGACAGAAAACTAACTGGCAACATTTTTCACAGTTAGTCTGGAAAGCAGCAAATAAGTATATTCATAGGATTCATATTAGTGGAGTTAAATTTACTACATGACATCAACAATAGTTTC